TAATCCTTCTGTTCCAATCCAGAAGCGGAGAAATGTAGAAGTACTAAATATAGTATTAGGAGAGTATTCTAAAAGCCCTGACCTGGATGGCCCAGGCTAGTCAAACTTTATCAGATCTCAGAAGCTAAGCAAGGTTGGCCCGGGTTAGTAATTGGATGGGAGACCACCAAGGAAGAGTCCCGGGTTGCTATGCAGAGGCAGGCGATGGCCAACCACCTCTGCTCCTCTCTTGCTTCAAGAACCCCACCGGGTCACCATAACTCAGCTGTGACTTAACGGCACTTTCAAAGTGCTAAAAATGTAGTTGCAATAGAAAGCTAAATCTAGTAAGCAGTGCTGGATTCAGGCATGGGCGACCAATATTTGAATTCTGCTTCCTATAGGACTTTGACAAATCACAGTCTTGCATCCTCAGTTTCCCGGTTTATAAAAGGCAGGTAGGTGGTGAGGATTATGAAGCCTCATTGAACTGTACAAGATTACAACCAATAAGAATTTGTCCACATAAGAACATAAGAGACGCCAATGTTGGATCAGGCCAATGGCCCATCCTGTCCAACACTCTGTGTCACACAGTGGCCAGAAATACCAGTGCCATCAGGAGGTCCACCAGTGGGGCCGGGACACTAGAAGCCCTCCCACTGTTGCCCCCACCCCAAGCACCAAGAAGACAGAGCATCACTTGCCCCAGACCGAGAGTTCCTATTTATATCTTGTGGCTAATAGCCACTGATGGACCTCTGCTCCATATGCTTATCTAATTCCCTCTGTGACATCTTTTGTCACTAGGGTTGCCACAACTGACCTGGGAAATTCCTGGAGATTTAGGGGTGGTGACTGTGGAGCAGGGAATTTGGGGAGGGATCTCACCTAGACGCTGTTATATGCTATAGAGTCTGTCTTCTGAAGCTGCCATTTCCTTCGGGGAAACTGATCTCTGCAGTCGAGAGATCAATTGTAATTCCAAGGGAACTCCAGGCCCACCTGGAACTTGGCTACCCAAGTTATCATTGCAAATCTAATTTCACTTTTGAGCCTTGAGGCCTAAAAATTAATCTTCGTTTCAGTACGTTTACGCAAGAGTTTCCTCCCAGAACTGCATGACTGGGGTTCTCATTTTTTTTTTTCTTCTGATAAATATTTAGTGGAACGAAGCCGGGCAGGTAGATTTGAGATACGATCGGGAAATAACTGTAGTCATCAAGGAGCCAAAATTTCAGCTTTGGGTAATGGACAAAATTGGCAGGACACTTAACAATGCCACTCTAAGTTACACATTCCTAAGTTCAGGCACTTTTCCCTTTCCCTTTTGAACAAGAGGTGCTGGAACTCTCAAGAGGGAAAGGAAGTTTTCAATCTGTATACTGAAAACTTACGAACTTCTAAACGTTTTTGAAATAATTTTGTCAGTTCCGGAACTCTGTTCTGGCATGTTCCCCCCGGATAAAAGAGCCCTGCCTAAGCCCATTTATTTCAATGCACTTAGAAAGTTATTATTTAAGATGGCAGCGTTGGTAACCATATTCTTTTCTTTAAAAAATTATTTTTTAAATATGTGTGTGTGTGTGCACCTGGAAGCCATGGCGACCTCTGGTGACTGACCCCTACTGGGGGCCTGGAGGATATTCAGAGAGGTGGCTGAATAAAGCCTGCCCCCACCTCCCGACTGCTGGTATTCCAAGGAGGTCTCCCATCCAAGTACTTGCCAGCATTGACCCCATTTAGCTTCCGAGATCTGATGAGATCGGGCTTGCATGGACTATCCAAGTCAGGGCAGTAACCAGGGCTATTTTTGGGCAGGAACGCACAGGAACGAAGTTCCGGCTGGCTCCCAAGTTGGCCACGCCCAGCAGGAACTTATTAGCATAATAGGCCACACCCAACAGCAGAAACTCATTAGGATTGGCTACATTAGGGGTGTGTGGCCTAACATGCAAAGGAGTTCCTGCTACAAAAAA